CTAGGGGGTAGATACATATTGACGGGTAAAGAGAAAGGGAATATTCGGTAAGGGAGAGGTCAGCACAGTTTGATCAAGGCAAAGGACGACACTGGGAGGAGCAAAAATTAGAGGGAACAAAGGTAAATACTTTTCCATACACAATCCTACAATAACAGTAATAACAATACGAGTGGATATGTAGATTGACATGCAAGCTGAACAGGTGTTAGAAGGAAAATGGGGACTACCAGACCAAAATGGACTGACATTTAGTCACTTCCAACTTATAGCAACCCTAAAGGACACAGTAGAACTGCCCTGTAGGGTTTCTAAGGCTGCAAATCTTTATGGAAGCAGACTGCCTCATCTTTTTCCCACAGAGTGGCTGGTGGGTCGAACCACTGACCTTTTGGTTAGCAGCCAAATGCCTTACCACTGTATCACCCGAGCTCCTAATGAGGACTATACCCATGAATATATATAGCTTGTTGTTTTTGTTGTTATGTGCTGTGGAGTCAGACCTGACTCATAGCAACCCCTCTTTGGGTTTCCAAGGCAGTATCACTGGGGAAGTAGATTGCCCAACAGGATATTTCTACATATGTATCTATATGTGCTGCAGAGATATCCATACATAAAGTAGAGTTTCTTGCCATAGTAAGACTTCTTAGCCATCAGCAAACATCTTGAGAGAGTGAGTCACTGGGCCTGGGGGCTCCGGTCATCATTTCAGGGACATCGAGGTCAGTTGGCATAACATAGTCCACAAAGACAGTGTTCTACATTCTACTTTGGTGAGTAGCAAGCAGGGTCTTAAAAGCTTGTGAGTGGCCACCCAAGAAACTATTGGTTTCTCCCCATCTGGAGCAAAGAAAAGTGAAGAAAACAAAGACACAAGGAAATAATTAGTCCAGTAATGGACTATATGGACCCCAGCCTTCATGACTGTGAGCCCAGAACTAGATAGTGCCTGGTTACCATTGCTGAACACTCTGAAAGGGATCACAATAGAAGGAGGTCCTGGATAGAGTCTGAGAAAAATGTAGAACAAAAGTAAAAAAAAAAAAAAAAAAGTTTTCTGGTCTGGTGGACTGTTGGAACCCCCAAGACTATGGCCTTTAGACACCCTTCAAGGCTGAAATTAACCTCACCCCATTGCTCAACTTTCAGCCAAATGATAGACAGGCCTATAAGGTGAACAGTAACATCAGGGAGGTATACACTTCTTAGAACAATCAACCATAGGAGACCTAAAGGTTAACATTTGCCCAGGGATAAAGCTCAGAAGGCAGGAAGGTATAAGAAAGGAGGTTGAATGGAAATGGTAAACACAGGGAGGAAGTGGGAAGCTGCTAGTATACTGTGGGGGTTTCAGTCAGTATAACAAAACAAAGTGTATATGAGTTGTTGAATGGGAAAGCAATTTGCTCTGTAATCTTTCACCCAAAGCACAATAAAAAGTTATTAAATAAATAAAAATGAATCACAATAAATATTATTAAAAGGGGAGCAACTTCAGTTCTCGGATAAAATATATGTTTGTAGTTATTAAATGTATGTATGTATGTATATATGGAGATATATATGTATATATGAGTGTATGTGCATGTATATGTATATGCACATATATATAATAAAGTACATAGGGGGCACAGTTAAGGATACCTCTTATTTATAACCAAGCAGCTCACGGGTTTGGTTTTCTGGGTTTGAAGGCTCAGTACTGTGGTCTCGTGGAACAATTTGGTCAGTGGTCATAATATAGTTCACAAAGCTTACATTCTACATATCGGTTTGGGAGTAGTGTCTGAGGTCTGAAAAGCTGGTGAGTGGCCATCTCAAATACACCTATTGATCTCTACTTGTCCGACTCAAAGAAGAAACTAGTCTCAGTACTGTTTGCATGAACCATGGCCTCATCTACCCTGAGACCAGAAGAACTAGATGGTGCCTGGCTAGCACTAGCAGTCATTCATATCATGACCACAGTATATGGGTACTGATAGAATGGGAGAAAAATACAGACAAGCATTCAAATTCTTAAAAAGTCCAGACATGCTAGACCAGTTGAAACTGGACACGCCCCAAGGTACTCTTTAAACCTTGAGCCAAAACTGTCTTTGAAGGTCACCTTTTAGTTAAATAACATGAATAAGTTATTAGTTAAAAAACATGAAATAAAGAATATTACCCAAATACTACACAAAACATTGTACTACCTCCTACTTTGACGAGTAGCGACTGGGATCTTAAAAGCTTGCAAGCAGCCATCTAGATGCAATGATGGGTCTCTCCTTGTCCAGAGCAAAGAAGAATGAAGAAAACCAAAGATTCATGGAAACAATTAGTCCTCACAACTGGTACACCATGCGATCCTCAGCCTATATGACTATGAGATCAGAAGAACTAGATGGTGTCCAGCTACCACTATCAACCACTCGCACAGGGACCTATGTAGGAGATCCTGGATAGAGAGGAAGAACAATGTGGAACAAAACTCAAAATCATTTGGGGGGAAACAAAAAGGGGGTGACCATGTTTGCTGGTCTGATAGAGCCTGGTGGAACCACTGAGACTATGGTCCCTAGCTGCCCTGCAGGTCTGGAATTGAACCCACACCTGTGGTTTCCCCAAACAAAAGACAGGCATAGGAGTTGAACATATACTGAGGTAGATACACTCCTTGGAGAGAAAAATCAAGGGAGAAAGAAGGGCTATTTATGCACAGGGAGACAGTTCAGGGGGCAGGAGTGCATGGAGGGTAGAGGTAACTATCAGGGGGAAGTGGAGGGAAGCTGTTGCATTGGGGTAAATTGTAGTCAATGTCATGAGACAACGTGTGTGTGAACTGCTGTATGGAAAGTGAATTTGCTCTGTAAACTTGCACCCAAATCACACAAAAAATAATAATGAAATGTATGGCCTTTAAAAAAAAGAAAAAGTCATTGAGAATTAATTGAAGTTTGCCTGAGAAACTGGAAGTGCTTTAAAGAGTAAAATCATTACCATTGAAGAAAACAAAAAGTCTATTACCCAAGAGTACTGTGCTACTTTTAAAGCAAAGGTGGGAAAATAAGGGTGCAGGGAAACTAGATTGCTCCAAGCAGAACAACTGGAACAAAAGTAATGAAAATGTTGACATATTGCGAAGAATGTAAAAATTGTAGAGATTATTGAGTGGGAACCTAATTTTGCTGTGTAAACTTTCACTGAAAGCACAATAAAATACTATTTAAAAACAAAAACAAAATATTCTTCCTAGGTTGAGACCTTCTGCTGGGGGCTATGGGTGGAGTTGTTGTTGTTATGTGCTGTTGAGTCAACTGACTCATAGTGACCCCTCCTTGGGTTTCCAAGATGGTATAACTATGGAAGTAGATTGCCCAACCTTCCTTCTGAGGAGTGGCTGGTGGATTTGAAATGTCAGCCTTCTGGTTAGCAGTCAAATGCCTTAGGCAGTACACCACCTGAGCTCCTCCCATGGGTGGTGTAGTTCTCTTTCAAGTGGCTATGGGCAGACAGACCCAGTGACAGACCCCTCCAGCATGCACAGGATTCTGCTGCCTTACGCAGATGCCACATTCTCCATGACGGTCTTCCCTGATAACTCCAGCCAGATGTGATCTCACCTGTTTTTAAATAATTACAGACTTTTGTTTGTACCACTCTTTAGGCAGGTATAGCATTCTGCCCTAAACTATGTTTGCGTACTATGATTGCTTATGTTAGAAGATTTATCTTGTTATTAGACTATAAAATCCTTGAAATGTTGTAATGGCCACAGTGACTTAGTGAGTTCTTAGTGTTTGCTAAATGAATGAGTGATGAGCTCTTAATAATAGATATTAAAGTAAATTCACTAGAAAGTTACTTTTGAATAAAAAATACTCCATCAGGGTCATTGCTTCTGCGTGTAATGGAATAACTACTTCAAGATTTTCCTTCTGGCATAAACAGCTAGAAAACTGAACAAACACATAAATCAACTGTTTATAGATGTCAGGCAGCAAGTAGCACTGGATTGTGATCCTTGAGAGGAGTGAGATAAATGGATGCGCCCTATGACCACCCTGCTTTCTGCCTGGAGGGACTCTCCAGATTACAGTGCTGGATGAAGACACCTGAGTGGAACACAGCAGTCTTGCTGAGCTTGGGGAGAGTTTGGAGTTTGTGGAGTAAGAATAGCAAAAAGGAGCTATAGAAAACCAAAAGTTAGTGCCATCAAGTCAATTTCAATTCATAGTAACCCCCATTGGATTTCCAAGGCTGTCAATCTTCATAGAAGCAGATTTTCTCATCTTTCTTCCATGGAGTGGCTTATGGGTTCAAACCACTAACCTCTTGGTTAGCAGCCAGATGCCTTTACCACTACACCACCAGAACTCCATGGAGAAAAAAGAGCTACATAAACCTGCTATGAACCTGGGCAGAAAACTAGAGCAGGAGGCTATGAGCTGAATAATTCCCAGAGCTCACATCCCACCAGAAGACCTTTGAATTCTTACCCACAATGGATTGACCTTGTTGAGCACCATGATACTGAATAAAGACCCCAGAAAGGTCATACCTAATAGTATGGCTAAACTAGCCTTTTACTAAACACAACATGTGGCTCTGGATCGGACACCTAAACAGAAAGGATATCAGTGGGAAAATGGCAAAATTTGAGTATAGTCTGTAGACTGAGATAGAGAATTTTGTCAGTGTTAATTTCCCAATTTTTACAGTAGTACTATAGTAAGTAAAAGAATGTTCTTGTTCTTTGGAAATAAACACTTCAATATGTGAGGGGGAAAAAAAGGTGATTGAGGTACATCATGTCTGCAAATCACTCAAACATTTCAGAAAAAAATTTTCTCATACATACACACACTATATACATACAAATGTACAAACATATATATATACATAGAAGTGCATGAATGGCTGAGGCTGCATCTAAATTAAGAGTTATCTAAGGGTTGAAGTTTCAGAGAAACTGTAGTTTAATTTGTCTTCATTATTTATTTTCTTTTTAGAGTTTACACACTGAAGGCCTTCCATTAAAAGGTCCTATACCACCCTGGTTGGTAAGTGAAAAATTATTTTCTTAATTTCAGGCCCGTGTCTTTTTTGGCTGAATATGAATAGCTATTAAAAAACATTCCAAATTAAGTGGATATTCTTAACCTTTTAAAATTTACTGAAGGTGTTTATATGTAAGGAATATATTAATCCTCTTTTGCTCCATTATCTTCAGTTGGATATAAAGTACCTGTCACCATTGTTGCTGGCTTATGAGGATAGAATGAAAGAACAGGATGATCTCAATGCCACCCTTAAGGTAGGTTGGCAAATGTCTCAGAAGAGACAAGGTTTATGAAAAATAATGCTCTACTTTGGTGAGTAGCGACTAGGATCTTAAAAGTTTTCAGGCGGCCATCTAGGTGCAATGATGGGTGTCTCCACATCCAGAACAAAGAAAAATGAAGAAAACCAAAGATGCATGGAAGCAGTTAGTCCAAGGGACTGGTACACCATGCGATCCTCAGCCTATATGGTTATGAGACCACAAGAACTAGATGGTGCCCAGCTACCACTGTCAACCACTCAGAGGGGGATCTATATAGGAGATCCTGGGTAGAGTGGGAAAACAATGTGGAACAAAACTCAAAATCATAAAAAAACAGAGACCAGGTTTGCTGATCTGATAGAGCTAGTGAGACCCCTGAGACTATAGCCCCTACCTGCCCTTCTGGTCTGGAATTTGAATCCACTCCTGTAGCTTCTGCACAAACAAAAGACAGGCATATGAGCTGAACATTTACATTAGGTAGATACACTTCTTGGAGAGAACAATTATGGGAGAAAGAAGGGCTGTGTATGCACAGGGAGACAGCTTGAAGGGCAGGAGTGCATGGGAGGGAAGGACACAGGGAAGAGGTGGCTATGGGGAGGAAGTGGGAGGAAAGCTGATGCATTGTGGGAGATTGCAATCAATGTCATGAGAGAAAGTATATGTGAACTGTTGTATGG